TATTATATATATATATATATTTATTTATTTATAAAGCATTAAAAAAAAGACTTGCTATTAAAGATGGGTTAAAACGCACTAAAACGTGGAGAATAATTTACAATTTTTAATGATTGCGCAAAAAAGGGTGTGCAGCAAATATTTTCCAAAATTAATGAAAAATAAAAATAAAACATTTAAATTTTTTCTACATTCATTTCGAATCCTTTGACTACAAAGAGTGCTGATCTACACTTTTGCACGTCATTCTTTAGCTACATAGAGTGCTCATCTACACTTTTGCACAATATTTCTTTGGCTACATATTACAAAAAGTTTTGGACTGCAATAGATGGCTACATAGAGTGCTCATCTACACTTCTGTACAATCTTTATTCTGCTACATAGAGGGCCTTTCCACACTTTTGCACAGTCTTTCTTTGCATGTCGGCCAACTGCAGAGTTTTTCGTGACAGTGGGTGGCTAAAATTACTGCACGCCCCGGTGGGAGGCACTTACTGTAGCTACACCAAAGCTCTGGGATTTAAGAAATGGCGTCAGTTTCCAGAAGGGTCTACATAAGGGGGAAAGGAATGGCAGAGTAATTGGTGACGTCAAAAACAAAGTTCTGGTAAGGTTGCATGCCATGGTTTGTGGTGAACAAAAAACTGTAACCCCCTTGGCAATCATTATATCAGGCTGCATTTGAAACACATAATTTGTTTTTTTTATAAGAATGATTAATTACCGGTAGTCAATTCATTTGTTGTAAAGAAATCATATGTATTTCAATATAATCAGATAATGATGAGAATATGGGGACTGAGACATTCACTTTACGACTTACAGCCAAAATTCACTTGCTCTTATTGACATCAGCACTCTTGGCATGTGACAAGCAGTCCTCAAATTCAAGTCATCTGGCCCTCACTTGACCTCTGAAAGGTTCTGCCCATGATCATCAATTAAATATAAACACTCAGAAAATATTTTTCATTTAATAGACAGGGATTCTGTAGGCCTATACAAGAATTATAAGGCAGTGTTTATTCAATAATATCAAAAAAGAATATATGGTATTTTGAAACAAAGATGTTTATTTGTAAAATGATACTAATTCATATCAGAAGCATTAAATAATAGCATGTGGTAGCAAATTTTCATTTTGAAAAATCCATAAATAAATTCAAATATTCTTATAGCATAAAGACAATTTTTGTAAATAAATAATAATTAATGACAGATCATCAGAAAAATACATTTCTTATTTTATTCATAAAATATTTCTACATAAAAAAAGTCTAAAGTTAAAGTTAACATAACATTGATGTGAAATAAAAACAAAAAAAAACCCACGCATTTGAAAAATTTAACTTCAATAAAGATTTTAATATATATAAAAAAATTATTGATTGCAGACTGCATGTTCCATATTAATAATTATTTAAGATTTAAAATAAAATAATTTATTTATTTAATGTGAATAATGTGAATCTGATAAACCACCTTGAGCAGTTCAGAATTTAGGAAGCATCATTGTTAAGTAAATTGCTTCACTAACACTTTGAACATATTATAATATTCTTGTTGCTTGGTTGCTGAATTAAATTAACATTGATTTGTGCGCACCAGTAAATACAAATTACCATGAAATTATGTTTGGTATTAAACAAATTCACATACACACACACACATATATATATATATATATATATATATATATATATATACTGCAGTAAAAAAATATATAAATACATAGGTGCATACTATAAATATCAATAAAAAAAATATAATACACCAATAAAAAACAAAAAAAAAAAATATATGTTTTATAAAAAAAAAACACATACACACACACACATATATATATATATATATATATATATATATATATATATACTGCAGTAAAAAAATATATAAATACATAGGGGCCTACTATAAATGTCAATAAGAAAAATCTAATACACCAATAAAAAACAACAAAAGCCTTTTACCAAAAGGCAATTGTAGTACCTAGAATAAATGGGGAAACTCAAAAGTGTGTCCCCTAACACAAACATAATTCTTTTAATATTAGCTTTAACCCCAAAAGTGATGCCTGAGGCGATTTGAACCCCCTAGGTACACCACTCCAGAAAAGTAAAAACCTAATTTGACACATGTGTTACAGTAGAAAGTAATGGAAAAATAATTAAGATTTATTACAAGTTCTTTTCTGAACAATCAACCGTAGTATATAAGGTAAAACATTATTTAATCATAAGTAAATATATTTTATTTTGGAAGCAAATAACAAAGCTTAAATGTAGTATTTTATAATATTAAAAAGCTAAAATTAATAATAAAGGAGTTTACAAGACCCAAAAGTTCAGCCACTTAAGTGGGTCAGTGGATAAGAAACCTAGATGTCATAGGTCATGATAGGTACTAAGGTAGCCCAGCCTTGGTTTAAATATGAGTGCCAAGTAAAGTAGATTTACAGGTTCTTCCTTTCAATCTTTTTCAATTACCGGTATTCTGTACAATTATTCCTCGATCACAACAATATTTTTATCTATCAATTAAAAAATATAACATTTGTGTAAATTTTAAAAAAATGTCTTCAGAATCAAATCACATACCAGGTATTTTAATGCTATTTTTAAAGCATTATTTCTATTTAGTCAACCATATTGCCTTATTCATTGCAAATGGTTATTTAAACTATAAAACTAAAATATAAAAATTTGTTTAAATTTTAAACTGCTGTGCAACAAAATCAAGTAGTAATCAGAACATACTAGCTATATTATCAACAAATTTAGCATGAGTCTTGAAATTCAGGATATGCAGCATTGTTTCTCATTAGCTTTGGACTTGGTCTTATTCAGGCTTGAATTGGAACCCTGAAATTCAACCAGGGGCTGTTTGAGGTCAATACCTGGTTTGTCCACTTTATAATCTTCTTCCAAATCACCTTCCTCCTTGGCTGGTTCCTGATATTTCTTAATTAAATTCTCAACTAGGATTTCAATATCATTCACTTCCTTCACATCCAAGTCAGGTGCCATGAAGGCTAAAAGATTTTGAACATTAGAACGGAATTTCCTAAACCTTTCCTCTGTGTCTTCAAGGTCTTTCTCTCTCAATTTCAGTTTTTTCCTCATCATTTCCAATAACTGTGAACCAGAGCAAGGTGAGTTGCTCTGACATGAGATTAGTGTTGCTTCATCTGCCATCTCTAACTTTACTCTAACATCTCCTTCTTTATCTTTCTTTACTTGGACTTTTTGGGTAGTTCTTTGTCCCTCCACAGATTCATCCGTTTCTTTGTTTCGTCTTGTAAGATCATTCCTTGCCAATGGATACGTTAAAGATGGATGTTCCTCCAGGGGGACATCATTGGAGCTGCTAATGTTTTTTATCTGACTAGGCCCAACAGGGGATGTCTCTGTTCCATTCAAACTCCCAATTCCTCTTTTAGACTCTGATTCATGATCATTTGTAGCACTTACTTCTTGTGCCTCATCTTGTTCATAACCTTCAGTATTGTAATTGTCTGAAAAAGGAGAAATGCTTCATAATTTGATTCAGCATTATAAATTATATATCACACTTTTATGCTCATTTTAATAATGGTGATATTTAGCATAATGCAAACAAAGTTTTAGATTTAATAAAAGTAAAGCAATGACTAAAATAAATAAAGATGTTTTGCTTAACTTGAGTGAACTCACTGTTTCTGCATGGTTAAATTTACAAAGATGATTTAAAATTAATGCCCATACACCATATGTAACTACATGAAATTTTTTATGTCAATTTTCATTTGAATTTAGCAAGTAAATTGAAGCCACAACTAAAATTTCAGCTATGCTTAACACAAATATTTAGTCTTATAAAGGGCTGAACCACACCAAGAAACAGTTATGAAATATTCAATGAAAGGCTGGTAAAAAGGGCTTAACACTATGTAGAATCTGACTAATTATAGCCTTACATTAATGGTATCTAAAAATATATGTTAAACTCAATAATAAATACTAACAGTAGCAGTTAAACATTTCACAAAAAGGCATCTTGTATATATATAAAGTAGTTTAAAATCACATGAGAGCATTATTATTTAATGAAAAACATACTTCTATTCACAAATCTATTTACCTTGTTGGTTACTTGATGTAGGTGATGTAACATCTTCCTCCGTGTTCCTTATCTTGTCTGGTTTCTTTTTTAGGAATGAAGGAGCCAGCTGAAGAGAATTAGCTTCATATTTGGAATGCTTTATGTTCTGATCTAAATGAGGCTTTTTTGATGGTGTGGACTGAAAGTCATCATCACTGTCATCCATGTGTGATGTGTCAGCTGGTTGATTCTCTGTTGTAGGAGTAGCTGTTTGCTCTGGTGATGGTTTTAAAGATGACCTGAAACAATTTAATGTTACAGTGGGGTCTAAACTATTGGCATGAAAATGGTACAAAATTAATAGAATTCTATAACAGAGATTCTTAGAAATTTATCTCCAGTTGCAGTGGTTAAAAATTTTAAAAAAATATTTATGGTTGCTGTGAAAATGAGTACCATAAATAAACTAAATGTTTTTTACAGATGTATTGTAGTTATAATTAAATTACCTGCAATTAGCTAATTTTTTTACTTAATTTAAAAATGTAAGAAATAACAGAACTGAAATCTTCATAAAATCCTTAAAAATATCCAGTAATTATTATTTTGTCATTATTAGAATATGATGCACAATAAAGACATATTTTTAAAATATGATCAGTAGTATCAAAAAATATAAAAATTATACATCAAATTTATAAAATGAAATAGTTGTAATTATTATGTTTTAAAATGAAAATTTCTCCTTACAATTATTAAAATGATTGATATGGTGGTTTGAGTGAAAACAAATTGTCTTTACCTTGTAATTTATACATTTTTGTAATAAAAAAATTCCCAGAGAATATTTTTATTTCTTAATACTAATACGGATATAAAATCTGAATATTTATTTGGGTGATGTCAATCTTTTCCCTTAAATGGACACTTGTACTTATTAAACTTTGCTTAACGAAGTATCATAAAACAAGAAAACACAAATAATGCCACCAAGGAGAAGGCAAAGTGCCCTGTCTTTTGAGCCTTTGTTATAATTAATTTTCAGATTTCACAAACATGTAGGCCAAGGTAAATTTTAAAATTTAACAAACCTTTGGAGTCTTAAAGAATGGACTTTACTGTTTTGAACTGTTGACTCAGATGCTTGCCTTAGTATATCCTGACCATGTATATTAAGTCAGTTATAAGTGTAAAAGACAAAAGTTAAAAAAAGGAAATTTAATAACATTTTAAACAATTTTTTTTTCAATTTGTACAGTACTTAATAGTTAATAGTTCAGCATTTATAAAAAAAAACAATCAATTTTGATGTACTTTAACAAAACATGAAGCGAGAGTTGACACCAGATAGATGTGGTTATGCACAGACATCTTAAAACCTACATGAAGTATGATAAAGACTTGTACATTTAAGATTGTGCTTTATGCAAAGCATATCACAAGCCTTTGTATGTATTCTTTTAAAATAAAAAATGCAATATATTATTTATTTTCTCTTGTACGAGTAATAAAACCTACATGATGTATCTTTATATTGACAAAAATTGCAGTCATTAAATGTCAATGTGATTGAAAAATTGAATTTCTTAAATTTTAGTGTCCTACAAGACTTACTCTCAATGATTCATACTTATAAATAGACGTGTTCTGGAGTCCTATAACTTTAATAAAAGATACAGGCCCAACGATAAAAAGTCATTTAAATTAAGTAGCCCTGTTTTAAAATGGTGAAATTGGTTAATAAGAGGGTCTGCTTTCTAATATTGATTTTCAGTATTAATTCAGACATTCGACTTCAAACTATTATAAAATTCAACATAGACCTGAACTAAAAATCACTAAAATTGCCCTCAACAATATTTAGTTGCATCTCAATCTCACCTCACAGATTTTCTTCTCCTTTTGTCTCTCTTCCTTCCTGGATTTATCAGGGAAAGAAAACATGTATGAATAATGCATAAAATAGGCATTGCTTGAAAATCTTTCATACAATACCATAGTGGTAATCAAATGGCTATTTAGCATTATTTTAATAAATAATGCTTCTTTTTTTAAATATGAAAGAATTTTCAGACTGTGTTGTTTTGTTATTTACAATTTGTTAACACCAATGCTGTTACAAATTATCAGATGTAAGTTATTGATCAAATTAAAAATTAAGATAAACTTTAGTCCAAAAGTTATGTTTTGTTTTAGTGAAATTAGGCACCTAGTCTGTTCCTATAAATAAACAATAAAAACGAGCATTTACTTTAGTGCTCTACACCTATTAATAGAATAGTTATCTCATTGATGGGATAGAGAATATCGGTAATTAAAATTTATGCTGTTATATTATATATGGTGGCTCAGTAAAAATACAACAAGACTTGATTGGCGTGTTTGATGCAGAAATGTGAACAATATGTTTTTCAACTTGATGTATCACTTATTTTAGCAAGGTGGACAATATCATTATAATCATAACAATAGCTGATTAAAAGCAAAGCAGCAAAACCTAATTTAAAAAAAAAAAATTCATTGTCTTTTTTAGTAGAATAACTCACCGCTTCTGCTTGAAGGTTTTTTTATAACTTGGTTTTAAAACTTCTTCATCATCTCCTTCTGTCTCTTCAGGTATGTCACAGCGGCTACAAACAGAACATATTGTTAGCATTATGAACATAATTATTATACTCTGTCATACATTAACTTTTAAAGAACATTTCTTGGCTAATAAAATGTTGTGAGCAAATCAACGTCAAGGCTTTATCAATTTATAACATGTTTTCTCTGCTTGATAGGCAGAGGTTAGATGGGTTGAACAGGGATGGATGGAACAGGGGAGATGGAGCAGGTAAATTTCCCACAGAGCTGTGATATAATTTGGTTCCGGTGTCTACCAGACTTTTATTCCTATAAAAGAACTTCCAGATATAAGGCAGTGTTTTAAACCCACAACATCTAACAAATTGAGGTGAAATAATAAAGCCAAGATTTCTTGTGAAGATCACTTCTTCTGGTACCTGTATTTTTTTTAAAGTCTGTTGCTGCTCTTGATATGTCAAATGAGTGATATCTTACAGAGTAAACTTTGAAATAAGTTGATTCTGTCAAATGATTTTTAAACTAAAGGCCTTTCCATGTCATTTTTGGCAAAAATTTTAGTTATTGCCCAAGACTGTTCCAAGACAACTCTTCATAAAATAATGATCCAAAAACAAGTTATCAGAAAAGAAATAATTCATATTCTTTAACTTTAAAAAATATCCAATATTTTTATTAATGATTTATATAAAGTAATAAACTTACTTATGTGTAGCATCACGATTTAGGAAACAAAACCACTTGTCAGGAAGAGACTTTTTAGTACTTACACCTGGCAAGCGTCGCCACTTTAGACAGGTATCACATTGCGCCCAAAGATCAGGGACTTCCCTAAAACATTTCAGATAAAAAAAGTTAAGGTAATACTTTACACTTACATAAAACAGAAGGTAAAAACTAAAGGACTTACAAGGTTTTACAAATGCAATATACTTAAGGGTTTTAGAAATATTTAGTGGGAAAAATTAGGGAGAAATAAAAAGTGTATACCTTCCTTTATGAGGAATTTGTGATTTTTGACCATGTATCTTTTCATTCCAGTAATCATTGAGTTTGTCCCCAAATGCTTTCATCACAGAACTGGAGTTGTAATCAGTAGATAAAAAATAGACCCTTACATTTTAAAGATGAAATCAACTATAACTTACAAAAACATAATATAAACTTAACAAATGTGAAAATAGATCAACCAAAAATAGGAATGGGAAAGTAAGTCTCTCTATTCAGATTGCTAAATAAATGTATTGTAATGGGTTCCAGGATCACATAATAGTGGCCCAAAATTGCTACTAAGACAAATTTTAGCTTGATACATTAAAAAAATTTAAACTAACATTTACCAAGAAGAAGAAATAGTTTAAATTCACTATTTATACTTGAATTGGAGAAAAATGTCTTTAAAAGTCTCTTATAACACGTACAGTACCTTTTTAAAATTAGAATGACTATTTTTCCACTAGAGATGTATTTTTTCTATAACATGGTAAAATGCACAAAAACATTAATTGGCAGTTTTACTTTTAAAGTATTAAATTCATTTTTTTTATTAAAAAGAAAATAGTTAAATTGTGCTAAAGCTTTAAGTTTAAAAGACTAAAAAAATCGTCTGGGTTGTCAAGTAAAACTATATTTATGACATGAACATATTTTTCAATGCTTTTCCACTCAAACTTCTTTGAAGGACAAAACTGGCCTAATTTATTAAATTTAAGTTAAGTATTATTATAGTGAATAATAATGTTTAATGAGTAATAACACTATGACTATTACAGTTGAGCACCAGGCCCTAACATAGATAAAAATGTCAGAAGAGATTTAAATTAAGCCTCACCCTGCTTGTGTCCATGAACACAAATTTTGTAAATCTTAAATTTAATCTTAGTTTTGTTCTTTGCATTTAACTCAGGGATTTCACAAATAGACCTATGTCTGATAATGATAAAGATAGACGTTACTCACTTGTATTTTTCATCTGTTTTGAAATCCTGTTTATTGTGAATTGGTTCAAGAAAATCTACCTCAGCTACACCTACTACTCCAACACCCAATTCATTTTCCTGTCAGAGAAAAGGTAGATCCAATTTTATATGAATATTAAACTAAACATTTGATAATAAAATGTGGCATTTAGAAATCAATATGTAGATCTATTTTTATTATTCATCCATAAAACAAATTGAAAAATATTGAAAAAAACAAAGATCATATTAAATGATAAAGTATGCATGTGTAATGGGATAAGGTCAAATCCATCTAATAAATGTAGACATTTTTTACCGTTTGCAAAAAGATACAAATACCCTTGAAAAAAACCCACTTTAATGCAAAGCTAGAAAAGATGGTACATGACTGAGAAATATAAGATAAACTAAATATTAAAAAAGACATACATTTAGTTGTCTCAGATTTCACGGCATAACTCACCTGTTTCTGATATCCAACTTTTTCATAGGCCTTGATGAGTCTGTTTTTGTGATACAACATCATTCCATAGTCATCCAACATATCACAGTTGAAACCAAAAATTATTTTTATGGGCATCCTCTGAGATAGACAATTTAGTGTGTTTATATTTTTACCTTCTAATTTAGGTTTAAATAATTTTTATGGGCATCCTCTGAGATAGACAATTTAGTGTGTTTATATTTTTACCTTCTAATTTAGATTTAAATAATTTTTATGGGCATACTCTGAGATAGACAATTTAGTGTGTGTATATTTTTACCTTCTAATTTAGGTTTAAATAATTTTTATGGGCATCCTCTGAGATAGTCTAATTACTGTGTGCATATTTTTACAATCTAATTTAGTTTTAAAATGGCACATCAGTTCAAAGTTGAATAAAACAAAATGAAAAGTAAACATTACAATTCCTATTTGAGTCTCAAGCCCCACTAATTTCAGTTTCATAATTATGTGTTATTCACAAGGAAAAATAGTAGCAAGGGAGGTATTTAAACTTGTTCATTTGTACGTTCCCCATTTATCTGCATTTCTATAAATAATTACCAGCCATGTTGGCCTGTATGTATCTCTTTCAGTTTTTGACAGTGACCTAGAAACCAGTTTAGACCTGACTGGCTTTCCCCTAAGTATTATTTTCATCCTTGGAATTAGATACAAAATACTTGTGTACACCTGATGACAAAAAGATCACATAATAAAACATCAAATGTTTCAAAACATTGAATAATATCTCTTTTGGGATGCATAGTCAGGCACTGAAACTGACATATTTACTGCATAGATAAGCTTAAAAACATTGTAGCAATTTAAACTGCTCATCAGAACATTTTTTTTTCTAAATAAATGATAACACTAACTCTAAGAGATCTCCTGTAGTCTGAGGGTTTCTGTACTACAGGTCGTGCAGTCATGGCGATGTCATAGGTAATGGTCTCTGGACATCGAATATCAGTTGAGTCACTGACAAGGTCCAGCTCTAACATACCATCCTGTGATCTGTGACATTAGTAAATAGTCTAATTTAAAACTAAAAAAAGATAAACATGCATGTGACAAAATTTTTTTACTCTTTACCTAAACAAATAATTTTTGGAGATCTTCTATCAATTATTGAGAATGAATTTATTTCAGAATATAAATAGATATTAAGAGGAACAATCTAATTTTGTGCAATGGAACCAATGGAAGAATTTATTTTTCAACACAAACACATTTGAAATTCAGTTTGAAAATTTAAGTTGCCTAAGTGTATTTTTATTTGAACAACACAATTCAGTCAAGATTTCAAGTAAAGAACATTTTATCCCCACTTCTACTCTCAATCAACCTGAAGTATCAATTTTATGGTATTTTCCAATGTTAAACTAATTTTGATAATAAAAAAATAAAAAACAATGTAAGTCATAGGTAGGCTATAATTAAAATGCTTTATATAATTAAATAAATCAAAATGCTAGACTCATGTTCAGATGATTTGATGACTCAGGTAAGTAAAAAAATTGAGTGTAGTTATGACCTTCCCTATAGAAGCTTTCAAACATTTTTGGGGAAAATAAATTAAACTGTCTTGAAATTTCATTAATAAATTTTCACACACAAAAAAAGTAGGCCTACTGAATTTTAACTTATCTAACACATATATATTTTTTGTTGTAGTTCACTCGCATACAGTAAAGCTAATGATATCTTACGTGTTTAGGTGAAAAATAATTATTTTTGTCCCAGTCACAGAAGACTCTAGAGTTTTAAGCTGAGCCTTGAGTTCTGTTTCAGTATGAAAAACAGAATACTTCAGAATAGCTTCCAGACAGTTTTGTGTTTCACTGTCATCTTTACATCTTAGTTGCTAGGGTTAAAGTTCACAATTTCAAAAAGAAAATGGAGGGTATATGAATATGCCAAAATAATTTGATATAAATTATTTATTTCTAGCCTTTCTAGAGAGATTTATTTATTGTTGCTGAATTTTTAAGTCAGGATACATAATTTCATTTCATATATTTAGCATTCACTTTTCCTTATTCAATTCAATTTCAATTTGCAGCATTTTAAATGAGGATCTAAGATTTCCTGTCAATGTTAATTCACATTCAGCTAGAAATGCTTTTGACATATTTTATTATTTGATATGATTAAAATATAAATTACATGTATAGAAATTTTAGTATATGCTGCAATATGCTACTAATCTATACGAGATTATTTATTGTCATATTTAATAAAAACACAGTAATGAACTTGAAAAATACTTAAAATATCTAATTTTTATACTACTTAAAGCTTTGATAAATAGCAAATCCAATAAAAGGATATTATAGTTAGTTTTGTTGTACTCGAGAATGGGAACAAGTATAGTTTCAGCCTCTATGGCCTGCAGATAGGTCTGCGAGAGGAAGCCAACACTTGTACTGTTTTTGCACCTTGTGAAAACCAAAGCATTTTTGCCCAAACGCATTGACCCAGATTTGAATCCATTTCCATAGTAACCAATAGGTGCATAAGAGTCTGTAATGGCATCTTTTTCACAAAATCCAAAGCTGAAATTAACAAATTTGGAACTGAATTCTTTGCATTTTTTAAAGTAAAAAATATTTAAAAATTTTATGCGAACATCTAATGTCTGGGATCAATAAATAAATCTGAAAATATGGAACTGAATTCTTTGCATTTTTTAAATTTAAAGTAAAAAATATTTAAAAATTTTATGCGAACATCTAATGTCTGGGATCAATAAATAAATCTGAAAATATGTACTACATTTACATATGTTCGTGATTTTCGTCGATCTTCTAACTTTACCTTTGGGCTGATCTACGTGAGGAAGGTAATCTTAGACAGCAGTACAGTATCTAACCGAATTTCATAAAAGGATAACCGATCACTCATAAATTTTCCCACATATGTCATCAATTCAAATGCGGGCTTTGTTAAAAGTTCAAGGTTTATGCATTGGAAATGAGGTGACCCTATAATTAGGTCAGAAAAACCCCGTTATGACCAAGATTCAACTCCGATTGAAATGTTCGGTAACTTTCTTAAGTGACAGGAACATATTTTCATATAAACTCTAAGATATTAAGATTTCCCATTGGTACAAAATAAGATATAGTTTGGCGATTCTAAGTACATGAATCGAATAGGTAAAGATTAAAAACATTAATAAATGAATTTTTACCCATTTATAGGGTTAAAAAATATTATTTTACAAAATTTATAATATTTTTTAATACCGGTAATTTATTTAAATTTATTTAACCAAGAAATACTCAAAACAGAAACAACAACTAAATTTTTACTGGGCTTGATAAGTGGTGGAAACTGAGTCCAAAATTACAAAATCACGAAGCATCGGAAGAGCATCTATGTTGTCTTGAAAAATGGAAAACATTAGCAGCAGGACTTAGGCTACACAAAACAATTGATGCAGAAAGTATTGGTGTGATGGAGTGGGAGAAGAGAAAGTGGAGTGATATCCTGCACAGTTTGCTAAATATCATATTGCGCCTTGCAAAGCTAAATCTGGCATTTCGTGGCCACATCAAAGAGGAATTTTCATTGAATAAAGGAAAATTATTTGAATTGGTCTAGATGCTATCTAAATATGACCCAGTGCAAAAAGAGCACATAATGAAACTAAAGAGCAGTACATCTACAATAAAAGCGTCCACGTCTTACATTTCACCAGAAACCCAAAATGATTTATAAATTTCCTTGCAAATAAAGTGAAGGATATTATTCACATGGATATAAAGGCTACGAGGTATTTTGGAATTATGTTCGACAGTACACTTGATAGATCACACAATGACCAGATGTCTGAAGTGATCAGATATGTGACAATCCACAATAGGAGATTTGAAGTGAGAGAAGTGTTTCTTGGATTTTTCCTTTGAGGGGAAAAACGCTGATGACCTCAGTTCGGGCATTCTTACAAATCTAAAAAATGATAGACTAGACCAGTGGTCGGCAAACTCATTTGTCAAAAGAGCCAAAAATCAGCAGCAGGACGATTAACTTTTTTTTTGAGAGCCAAATTTCTTTTCAAGAACCTGTCAAAAACCATGTTTTTCGGAGTCAAAACCGATTTGTGGTCGACGGCCGAGCCACACTCTTGATTCTAAAAGGCTGCGATTTGCCGACCACTGGACTTGACCTAATGATGTGCAGAGCTCAAGGTTACTACAATGATGCCACGATATCTGGAATCAATGGAGGTGTTCAAGTCATTTTGAAAAGAAAGAATTTTAAAAAGCGATTTTTAATGGATGTTTGAGCCATTCGCTTAACTTGTGTGTTCAAAACTCTTTTGCTGAAAATGCATCATGTATTACATTTTTCAATAATCTTGAGAGAATATTTCCTTCTTTGCTGCATCCACTCATCGGCGGGATGGTTTAATTGAACACACTGGAATGTCGGTGAAAAGATCTTCGACAACACGTTGAGTGCGCATGAAGCTGCTGTTAAAACTGAAAGTAAAGTTTGATGAATGTGAGGCAGCAATTGAAGCTCTATGTGATCCTCTTGAAAATTTGGATACAAGAGGTACAGCACAAGATCTTTTACATGCTGTCCGTGATTTCATGTTTATCTCCTAACTTTATCTTTGGGCTGATTATTTGAGGAAGTTAATCTTAGACAACAGTATCTGCAGACTAAAAGGCTTTACTCTTGACAAAGTGGTGACCAGCCTAAGAGGACTTAAGATTGTTTCTGCACGAGAAGCGCCGTCACTTGATGGAACATGCTATTTAAAAGGCATTTTAAAATTCATACCATTATAGAATTTCTGTAGAAAGAAGATTAAGATTTAAGAAGAGAATGGCAAGAAAACAATTAATAGATGCTGGACCCTCCTTGCGAGAAGAAAACAGTAGGGAGATAATGGAGTGTTTGATCGCTTTCATTCTGAACTCCAGATCCGATCATCGGCTATCAAGGAAGTTGCAGAATGTTTGGGGGTATTCTATCCAATAATCTACTAACAGCAAGTGAAGAAGAATTATTGAATTTAATTTTTTTATTGGTGACCGTTCCAAAATTAACCTCTTTCTATGATGAACATTTAAAAGAAATACCAAGGCCTAGAAGACACCTAAAGTTAAAAGCAGCTGATAATGAATTTCACAAAGTTTTGATCTGGTCAGGATTTAATTTTTGAATGGGACTTCCTAGAATCTCTTCCAAAACTGTCGCAAATCTTTCAATCGTTTCTTACGATCTGTGTGTCTGTGGCTTCAAGTGAGCGGAGCTTTTCAAACCTAAGGCTTATCAAGAGCTATTGCCGATCCACCTTTGGATAGTTAATGCTTACTAATCTGGCTCTACTATCAACTGAAATTGATGCGAGAAAGGATATTGATTTTGATCAAGTGATTGCCAGGTTTGCAGCGTTGAAGTCCAGGAAAGGAACGTTTTAAAGTAAATTTATGCAAAAGTAACTATAGCTAGTATAAATTAACTTTGTTACATTTATTAAATACATTTACCCCCAACCTTTAATTAATTTGTTTTGTTATTGTCATTTTTTATACAATGGACTGTGGACTTATTTTTAACAACAACAACAAAAATCCACCGTGGCAGTCGGGGGAGTGGCGGCTGGCACCATGAGTATATATAGAACTATTACTTGTGATGGATTTTTACAATAACTGTGAAATGAATTACTAGCCTTGCATAGATGAATTAAACCAAATGACGACCCCCCTCCTCCCCCCAATTAAAAAAACCTATGATTTTTACATATAAGAAGGTTACTTAAAAACCAAATAATTTTTTAATTTTTTAAAATTAATTATTGATTAACCAAGTTGCCAGCTGCAGTTTAGGCGGTAAAGCTATTTTCAAATTTGCGCAGATATTTAACATTTAATAATAAAATTAATATAAATCTGAAAGGCTTTCGAATTACGGCTTAACCGGGTGGAGTGTGTTGTTTTTTTACACCGGATCCTGGTATTTTGAGAAAATACCCGATTGGTCCAAGTGTTACCAAAAGGAAAAATAATTAACTTCTCATTTTCAGTAATAAATGCTGGGCGTTAAACACTAGGCCAACAGAAGTCCTACACTCTACCTGTCGTCCCATAAGCTGTCCTGTCCTACACATGTAAAAATGTGGATTTTTGGGGAGGGCGGTTTCGAAAAGGAAGCAGGGTATGATTCAGAAGTAAAAACTCTATATAAAAGATATAGGCCTACAAGATAATTTTTACCTGAGCATTTTTAAAAGATTTGCTGTTTCAATACCAGCGCCATTGTCTTGTATTATTAAACAATGTTCATCATTTATTCTCATTGTATCGATATCGACATGCGTGGCCTTAACATCCGGATCATATGCGTTATCTGTTAATAATATTACAATTTATTTAAATGGTGTTCAATGAATCCATAATTAATAATAAAACTTCATAAGCCTATCAACAATAAAAAAATTAATTTAAAAAAAAAGAGAAAAATCATGTAAAATACGTAATAAAATTATTCAATTAACAATAAAATAAAGATATTAAAAACGAGTTTTTCATGTTAATAGTAAAATATTAATTTTAATATAAAAATGGCATATAGGCCTATAGATCTTTCTGTAGCCTAAAAAAACAACAAAAACAAAGAGTGAAACAGAGATGTAAATGTTTTTGTTATAGCCTGTATGTTGGCATTGTTTTTATTCACCACAACCCATTGCATTTAACCGTATCTCCTTTCCCCCCCTTTTTTTGTTTTGATACTGACATCATCGATTAAATGTGTGCGCCAATCCTATTTGTTACACACTCCTCCCTTGATTGGGAAAAGGTTGTTGACCCTAGAAAACATTCTCTTTGCTCTAAAGAATGCTATCAAATGATGCAATTTCTGGAATTTCTTTTCTGGAGGTTCTAACTCTCTTGCTATAAATACGCCGGGAGCCTTCCTAGCCAAGAGAGATTTTTTTTAATATTGCCCCTAGTCATTTAAGAGACGTATTATACTTACAAGATTGTACTCTGTCTCTCTCCCTCCCTCTCTCTGTCTGTCTCACTCTCCCTCCCCCCTCCCTCTCGCCATCTCTCTCTCCCTCCCTCCCCTCTCTCTCTTTCTCCCTCTCCCCCTCTCTCTCTGTCTCTCTCTCTCTCCCTTGGTCCCTCTCTCCCCCTTGGTCCCTCTCTCCCCCCTCTCTCTCCTTTTCTCTGTCTCCCTCTCTCGCTCTTTCTTTCTCTCTCACTCTCTTTCTCCCTCCCTCTCTCTTAGAGAGAGAGAGAGACTCTCTCTCTCTCTCTCTCCCCCCCTCTCTCTCTCTCTCTCTCTCTCTCTCCCTCCCTCCCTCCCTCTACACCCCCCTTCTCTCTCTCTCTCTCTCTCTCTCTCTCTCCCCTCTCTCTCTATCTGTGTGTGCATTCATATTTGTATCTTTCGAGGATTGCTCTGTTTCAAATGATGTGCTGTAAGTTAATATAGTTTGTATTTCTACTTCTCTTTGATTTTGTATTTGTATATAAATTTAATCTTATAATAAAATGGAATATTGTTAGTATCACTAGCTTTGGTATAGTTTTTCTTAGCATACCCTTTTTTAGTTCTTTGTTAAATATTGTACATTTAATAACAAAAAATTAAAACAAATTAAACTCTCAAAACTATATAACGGCACGTAACAGTTATCCATCAGCGTTTGATAAAAATAAATGATTATTGCAAATCGGAAAAAAATGTCCTATCGCTTTAGTTAGCTATGCTAACTATGACTGACTAATTAATATTCAATTTTGGCATCTCTTGTCTTTGTGAAGTACATCGGATTTTATAGCTTCATTCACTATAAAGATCCTAACTAAAGACGATTGTGGCGTCTCTCGGATGTAGGCGTTTGGGGGCAAGTGAACCCCTTCGCCCCCCTCCATCGCATGGCCCTGACTCTTGCATTTGATGTTGTGAGCTTAACAAACCAAATTTATAAGGCTTTAACAATCCTGCTTAAAAAGAATAATGTGTTTGAATTTGCTGATTCCTCTTTAATAACATTTTATGTGAAGCAAATTAACAACAAAAAAAAAAAAAAAAAAAAAAAAAAATTAAAAAAAAATAATGTGTTTGAATTTGCTTATTCCTTTTTAAAAAAATTTTATGTGAAAAAAATTAAAAAAAAAAAAAAAAAAAAAAAAAAAAAAAAAATTAAAAGGAAAGTTGTGTCTTGATTAGGCTGCTAAATCTGAGCAGCAGCATACCTGGTTACTCTGAAACTTCCAAAGTAGTACACTCTCGTTTTTAGAATAGCACTTTACCACCTCAAAATTGTACAATAACCGTATCCGAAAATTTGTTTGAAAGAAATTTCGTTGACGGAAAATTGGTCGACGGAAATTTGATCGAACGGAAATTTGGTTGAATCTCTTTTTTTTTTTTTTTCAGTTCACACATTAAAACTTTGCGTCAAATTTCTTTTTGAACGCATTATTTTGTTTTACGATTCAAAAAGAAATTTGACGTAATTTTTTTAACGAACATGAAATATTATTTCTGAAATTTGGTCCGCCTGCTTGAAAGGTTGGCCACCCCTGCCCCAGGGCGTTGTTGATATTCTTTTCATTGAAACTCCAGGGTGTTCAATAAAACATTACGTAAATGAGTGGAAGTATAAAAGAAGAAAACCAAGGCACGCTTCTCTCTTCAACTTTCCTATCGTGGGCTTTCGCATGTCTGATAACCTCAAACGTGTCAGCGTGTGATAGCTCAGGTGTGTTGTCCAACATGATTCCAAAATACTTCGGTCTTTATTTCATGGCAAGCGTCTCATTCACGTGATTACCCAGAACGTTTATAAGAAAATTCTGAACTTTTATTGTAAGATGCGATATAGATTCTTAAAAGTCTGGTGACACCCTGCTATAGAATTTTACTTAGAAATATATTCCTCATCCCTTTCTTTGGGTGCCACCCGGTGAGACCGCAATACCCAAAGCCCTAGTGACGCCACTGGGCACAATACTTTTTTTGAGCGAGATTGAGAGAAATAAAAATAATCCTCAGGCGAAAAAAATCAAGCAAACAATGCAGACCAGTAAAATAAACACAACGGCTTTCAGCGTAAGACACATTCCACGCTTTTTTGTTTTGTTATGGCAAACATTGTAATGAGGTCTTCATATAGTCAAAGGTATCATAGTGAAAATATCACGTTCAGTTGACAATGTTGCCAGTCCATTAAACCTGATCGATCTCATTATGTTTGCACCAACCTTAGTTTGTTCACTTGCTACGGTTACCAGCAGCGTGAGCATTATTTATCAGCGAAGATCTCAGCATTCGAAGGTGAATCTGCCAGCGGCACGTGCATTGAAAACACCCACATGCCGCTTGTGCTTCTTCTGGAATCATTTCCTTCAGTCCCTTCGGTAGTCCAAACTTTCTATGTCCCGGGAATCACCCCCCTTTTCAACGCTACGTCCGAATCCGCACACAGCAATGTTTGCTCAAATTAAGTCATGCCATTAAAACGGAGTTACTGAATATCACACAGAAAGTGAAAAATGTAAACGTAAAGTTGCAGTCCTAGAAATTAGAAACGTTTCTTCAAGGATCCCAACGACCGGTCTACCAATCACAAGAAATATTTTATCCTGAAATATTCCTCGGTAATCCGATGTGTCTCGTCTCTAGATTCATATTCTTTAAATTCGCTAATCGTGACGTGATTTAACCACTTCATTACCGCAGAGTTTTGGGGGCATCGATTTTTGCTGACTCAGCAACAAAAAACTTATTATTATTATTATTATTATATATAAAAAAAAAAAAGATGAATTTTTCTGTAAATTTCATTCTCTATCCGATTCACTTTTTAACTTCTCTATAGATTAACTAACAAGGAAATAAATAGCATTGAAATTTGACGTCGACGTGACGTCCTGCGGTATTTCAGAAAAGTTCTAAAATTTTTGTTATGACGTCGATGTGACGTCCTTGGTAATTGAAAGTGGGTGATCATGACGTCGACGTCATCGGTAATGAAGTGGTTAAACACCGGTTGGATGCTTGTTTCTCGTGCTATTTTCTTTGCAGTTGTCTTTGCACATGGAAATCCTTCATCTCTGTATTTGGATTGAAATGAGGATACACGGGGTTCCATAGTTAAAGTCTTCAAGAGATTGATTCTAGAGGGATAGAATGGGAGCTGCGCATCCTACCCATTTGGTTATCTCATAGGCTAGCCCCCTAGTATTGTATTGACTGGAAATTACGAATTATGATTGGGCACGGTCTGGCCATATTAATAATATATAATAGTATAAGGGCCACAAAGCGCGGGGACTTGGTCGATTACCCCCTCCTCCCCCCCCCCATCCCCGTAGCGCCGGCTCTGAATTTACATTTTCGCAGCTTACGGCTTACAGAGTCACTTCAAGTTTAAAATTATTATTATATTTTTACAACGTGCACTGACCTATTAACTCTGCTATAGCACTGAATGCCCAAGTGTGACTGGTTGAGTTACTGTGCAGGTATCGAGGGTTTACCTGAAAACACAAACAACAAAGAGATCTTGCAGGTTATTTTTGCGATGCAAAACTCTGGTGGAGTTAATTTTAAGTATTAAAAATACATAGCACCAATTAATTTTTGTACGGACACAATCATATTCAATTTTTTAAAGTATCAATTAAATTTGTTTTCAACTTTCCGTCTAACTTTGTTTATGGCTACGTGGCTATAAAAGAACCTATCAAGTGTAAGACGAACAAGAGGAAAAGACAAATGCCCATCTTTCTCATTTTGCTGCGTTACTAAAACCTTTGGTACAATTTCATTTTTTTTTCGGATATCCTAAAGTTTTTAAGGACATTTACGGAAAGTTATTGTTGTTCACTCTTTTTACAGAATATCCGTACATTTATGCACGGTTGGAAACCATGGTCCGGTTGTACCGGGAAGGCGTACTTTGGCGATGTGCCGAAGATACAGCTGTTTTCCGCAATTTAGTTGTTGTTTCTAAAGCCCTTTTTATTCTACTGCCAACTGGAAGCAGTGTAGGTGTGTCATCAGAGTTCCCTTCTCCTAGATGAGTTGCCATCCTAGGTTGACGAGTCCCATCCAGATCTACTCGTGTTTGATGTCAAGCCCATCAGTTTGTATTTCATCTTATCATGTCGACTCACTCGACACGATGTCTATTTTGTTATTTCGTTTCCGATAGACGGTGGTGTCATTCCGCAAGAGGTCATTGCAGTGAAACTACGAAGCTGTGTGAGAGACCGGACCAGTGGGTCTGCTGTCATCGCATCACTTATCAAACTCCTTCTTTGCTTTGGCGATTCGTTTACCAATTGCCCCAAAGAAGATATGTGCACCCCCATTGCTGGGCAAGAGAAACTGATGCTTCCTTGGCAATATTGTATTCATTTGACTTAGAGACCAACCGAATTTCGGCTTCGGTTTCGGCGCCGAAAGTGGCCATTTGATCACTTCTGGCCTAATTTCGGTTTCGACCGAAACTGAAATATTAACTTTCGGTTTAATTTCGGTTTCGGCCGAAAGTGTTTGGGACTTTAGGCCTTCTAGCCGAAAGTGACTGGGGTTTTCGGTCATTTACCAGAGGTCAGACTGTCTGTCTGTCTCTAGGCGGGCAATCCGATATTCATTATTGCTCGACGTCTACCTCTTATCGTATGTTGTATGACTAATACTAATACTCTGCGAAAACTGCTGATAGCTGCATGATGACCTAACTTGTCCTTTCATTTTCCAAAAAATTAAATTTTAATTAGACATAAGCAAATATAAACAGATTTGTGGAAAAAATAACTAGTGGAATAGTAATATTTTATATCATTATTTTTGTTTCAATTTATTCAAACTTAAAATTTGGAACCCTAGGTTTATTCAATTCTTTCATTTGTGATATTCATTTATTTGATTTATCATTATAATGCTCATCAATTTTGTCATAGGCAAAGGTGAATAATATTGCATAATTCTAGGGAATGGTGATATTTCTCCAATTATTTTTGTTTATTTTTTTTTTAAATTAAGGAAACCTATGCTATTTTATCATGCTCATAAACATTGTTATTGACGAAATAACAAGTGGGTGCATGTATCACTGGCTTGTATCATAATTATGTAGTAGGCCTTCTGCAGGCTGGTTTAATTTCGGCTTCGGTCAAAACTGAATTATTAACTTTCGTTTTAATTTCAGTTTCGGCCGAAAGTCATCTTTAAATTTCGGCATAGTTTTGTTTTCGGCCGAAATCAGAAAGTCACTTTTTCGGCCGGTCTCTAATTTGAATTGTTCATGAATGCTGACACGAGCTCAGCCAGATTTGTTGGGGGAAGAAAAACCAAATACAAGACCTGAATTATAGAGGTTGCCACTAGAGTTGGTTGCAGTCGGGTCAGGCTGCCAAATGAGCAACTTTCCTCCAAATCAGAGTGCCAACAGATCTGGGTATCACCAGAGCAGGCAGATTCGGAAAGGGCTCGCGCGGGGGAGGGGGGGGAGGGTGTCTAGATGGGATGCAGAACATTGCAGGGGAGCAATCAAAAGACGCTGGAATCACTTTGTAAAAAGAAAAAAAATAGAACAATCCTTGAGTATATTGATCGTTTTCACGCTGAACTTCAGATCAGACCAAGAGATATCATGGAAGTATCAAATTATGATTATGTTTTTATGCCTCTACTGTTGATGTCTGAAGAAGAGTTATTGGTGTCACATCGCAATCTGACAACTTTCTCTCAGTTATCTGAGAATGAACTTTTAATAGCAATAACCAAGGCTGGGAAAGCACCTGATAATTTTGTGGCTGTGGCTTCGTGTGAGAGGATGTTATAAAAAAAAACCTATATCTTTAAAAGAACTATTTGCGATCTACCATGGAGCAATCCAAGATTTCTGTTCTTGCAATGTTGTCAGTTGAAAGTTATGAGGGGAAGAATGTTTATTTTGATGAAGTTTTGATGACATGTTTGCTTCTTTAAAGACCAGTAAATTAATGTTTTAATTGTGAAGTTAAATGTTTCAATAAAATGTATTTTAATGTTTTTAAATGTTTCAATAAAATGTATTTTAATGTTTTTAAATGTTAAAAGCCGTTATCTCAAATGTTTTCTTCTCATGTATTTTGTTGTTTTAGGACGTAATTCACTTAAAAACTAGAAGCGTTAATTTATGATCTGGTTAAAAATGACGAGGGGCAGATCTCAGAAAAGTGTGTGAGTGTGTGTGGGGTTGGTGGTACAAAGGTGTGTGTGGGGGTGACACTAATGAGTTTACCGAAACGGGTGACACCCACCCTGGTGACGCTTCTGATTTGATTCCATGTACGATTCAATAAAGTTCTTTAATTTTCAAGTACATTGTCCCGCCGCGATCAAAATTCTAGACTATGACATATTAGTTCGTACAGTTCATCACCAGTAAATCCTTGAATATGCTTTTTTTTCTCCCTAAGGCAATACCAAATTATAGTAAGTTATGTTTAAAAAAATAATAACAATGTAAAGTATAGTCTTATTAAAAGCGGTTTGTAGTTTTATTCCCACATTTTGAGCGTCGTTGATTTGAAACAGAGCCATATTTTGATTCCCTTGCCTTCATAATTCATTTTAATTTGAACTATTAAGTGGATCATTTTTTAGTTTCGGTTTCGTTTTTAAAATAATGTCTTTATTTATTTTATATTAATCAAGTGTGATTTATGCAAGTGGTAAATTACCTAAAAAGTACAAAACGTTCACTTTTAATATGATTTTGCCAATTTTGTGAAACAATAGTATGGAAAATAAAATACTGCTAGAGTTTTACCTTACACAATGGTACTCCAGCTGTTTGCGCCATGTTGAAAAGCGATCGAAGACAATCTACGTAAAATAGACTACAGTAACAAGTGGCCTAGACCTATTTAGACATTAATACTTCAACAATTTTCAAAGTCACCAAAAAAATGATTCCAAAATGCTCTGACGCACGAAAGTGATTTGCGCTATTCTTTTGGTACCGGTACATCTCCACAGTGTGCAGCCTGCAGGCATATCTGGTGTCAACTTAAGTAGGCCTAAAACTTAAAGTAATAAAACAGCAATAGGAAAAAATGTTGACTATTCAAAGTGATACGTTATCTTTTCCTTCATCCAGGATAATATAAAACAATCGAATAAACAGTTTCAAAAACATCAAACCATTCATGAATCATATGATAAAGTCTTGTAAAACATTTTGATAAGTTACGTTTCTGAAAATATTATTTTATTTTTGTTTACCCAAACTGAAATTCTTATATTAAAAAAAAAAAAAAAGAACAAAAAAAAAAAAAAAAATAAAATACAAAAGTAAAACATTTTGATAAGTTACGTTTCTGAAAATATTATTTTATTTTTGTTTACCCAAAATGAAATTTTTAAATTAAAAAAAAAAAAAACGAACCAAAAAAAAAAAAAGATTACAATTCAAATTTATGTATGCGCCTATCAGATATTTGGGTAAAACATTTCCTGCATTTAATCCTTGGCCTACATTACGTCGTACATGGCAGACAAGGAAATAATAAAACTCCCAAAGCAAATTTGTGTGGAATCTACACATTGAAATATATTTACGCCTTTATGTACTTTACATGGCAGATTCAATTCAAACAAATTACAGGGATCCAACGATATATTTTGAATCACTAGATTTATCAGCTCAGTCTAATTGCCCACTTTTGACTAAGCCCTGGAGGCGACGATAAAAAAATGCCACTTTTGTCTATTTACAGAGTTGGATTAAGCTACTGTTCTTTTGCTATAGATTCTACTGCGCTATTACCATAGTTACGGCTCTTGTCATTTTTTACCCCCCCCCCCCCCATTTGAAAGGACGTTCTTTCTTCTCGCATTTCCATCTTGTTTGTTTGTCTATCCACCGGATTTGTGTGTGTGTGTGTGTGTGGACACAACTGGTGCTATCTCTCAGTTGATAGTGTGTCTCGGGGTCACCTGAAAGGTCACATCTGAGTTTGTGTCAACGTCACGTCTGCTTCGTCATGTGAAGGGCGAGATAAAGGTCGGTAGGGGGTTACCGGAGATTTGTTTGAAAGAAATTTCGTCGACGGAAAATCGTTTGACGGAAGTTTGATCGAACGGAAATTCGATCGATTTTTTTTTCTTCAGTTCACGCGATCAAATTTTCGTCAAATTTCTTTTTGAATGCACTATATATATAATATAAGAATGAGCTACAGTGACATAACGCCAAAGAACCTATACGATTTAAGTACGTTCGGATTCCTCTGGTTCTGGTAGTGTTCGTTGCTGCATACATATACTGGCATCTGTGCAACGGTTGGAGAAGCGATGTTGTTTTTCTAACAGCTCCTAGCAGATGCAAGGGCAGCCTTGAAGCTTTCAACCAATGTTGAGTCCACAGCGGCATCGTCCAGGTGGTTCCAAGCAATTATTGTGCGTGGAAAGAATGATTGTTTATACTGCACTGTGTTACACCGAGGCACGGTGAAGCATTTGCTATTGTTTCGGGTGTAATTGTTTATGGAAGACCTGCACAACATATTTCAGCGGGCCGCATGTGGCCCGCAAGCACCCACTTTGTGGCCCGCGAGGTAACGAAAAACTCTTTATTCTTATTATTTTCTTAATAGCTTTCTCCCTGACCTATTTTCTTTTGGCCCGCAAAAGCTTTTAATAATGTATTACGGCCCGCCTTACATTTTGAGTTTTGTAGGCTTGGTTTATGGTGTTGTCAGTGGTGAAATTAGTGTTCAGTGAGCGTTTGGCTCTAATCAATCGACCCGGCTTCTATGGGGGGAGGTACGTGCCTGCTGGGATGGCCGGCACCAGCCCCATGAACACTTTTTAAGAGGCCAGTGACGAAGCCAGAAGTGATGGATTTGTAGTCACGTGCGATGAAGCGCACCGCGTTACGTTGGATTCGCTCCATCTTGTCTACGTCTCGCTTTAAGTGTGGGTCCCAGATGATCGCACCAAATGCTAGTAGTGGATGGACGAGTGCAAGATAGTCATTGCGTTTGCAGGACGTTGGGCAGTGGCGCAGATTTCTTCGAATGAAACCAAGTGTGAAGTTGGCATTTTTTTTTATTATTTGTTTATATGGGACGCCCATTTTAGGTTATTTGAGAAGAGAATTCCAAGGTATGGATTAATTGATACTTGGAGAATTTTCTCGTTTAGCGAGTTCATATTATAAATGTTTTTTTTTCTTGAGATGCTCATTGTGTAGCATTTTGTTTCATTAAATTTCATGCCCCATTTGTCCGCCCAATTCCTAAGGCACATCAAATCTGTTTGGAGGTGGTTGTGGTTTATCGTAGCTGCTTATCTCTCTGTAGACAAGACAGTCATCTGCAAACAGCCTCACTTGAGATTTTACAGTATCGGGGAGGTCGTTTATGTGACAGTGACAGAGAAAGAGAAGGGGCCCAGCACTGTACCCCGGGGGACTCCTGAGTCTATGGTGGCTTTCCCTGATCGGACGCCGTCTTCCACTACTTGCATGGTACCTTGTGTTAGGAATGTTGAGAGCCAGGAGTGAAGGTTGCCGGTAAAGCCGTAGTGGTGGAGCTTTTGAAGAAGAAGGCTGTGTGGAACAGTGTCGAATGCCTTGGAGAAGTCGAGAATTGCCATGTCGACCTGGATACCTTTGTCAAAGGATACAAGGAGGTCATTGGTGGTGATGATTAATTGGGTTTCTGTTGAGAATCCAGATCGGAAACTGTGGTTTAGGTTGGTCAAAATGTTGTAGTGTTCAAGGTGGATCCTAAAAACAATCATAGTTATTTTCTATTATTTTACGGAAATCGAATAAATTGAAATGCCCAAACAATATTTTAAATTCGCTTTTATTTTATTAAAAGTTAACGTTACTTTATTATAAATTACAAATATATATAAAGTATCAACTAACGAATTATTTTAAGCATTTTATGTGTTTAAAAGTTATGAGAAAATAAAAAAAATCATGATCAAAGAATTACACCGTAATCATATTTATAGGGAAAAACCAAGGCATCAGTTGTTTTTAGTGCGTCTTTTAGTGCGTCGTTAATATTGCAAAATAAAATTAAAATTAATTCTTCTTCTTCTTCTGTATATTAAGGGCCCACGATCAATTTATTGATCATTTTGGCTCCTATGCATGTAAAGGGTATTTGCAAAGTTTCTGTGCCTGCTGGTGTTGATGAGGATATTTCACTGGTTCCAATCTCCTTGTTCTTTGTCAACTCTCTGCTAAACATTTGCATGTTGAGATTTCTTGTGGAACTTCAATGGACTTTAATTGTAACTTTGGTAACTTTAGTGAGTCAATCTTAATTGTAACTTAGTTACGTTTATGTTACCCAAAGCTTGGTTTTATTGATGTTACTTGTAACTTAGTTATATGTTGCATGTTTTAGTGCATGTGTTGGTTACTTATGGAAGCTGATATTTTAAGTCTTATCATTTTAATTTGTTGTTCAGAATAATTTGTTCTAAATAATCATGCAAATGAAGTTATAGCCAAAACTCTTAGGTTTCTTTAAATTTAACAACCTCTAATGCCAAAACTGATAATGTATCTTTCCTTCTTATAAGTAAAATTAATAAATACAATTCATTGCTTTTTAAATTGTTAATAAAACACACACATTTTTGCTTTGTATCTTTTTACATTTAAAAAGTTTTGCTTTTTTGATTCCAAAATATAATTTTATTAAATTTATAAGTACTAAAAACTAACCTTTAAATATAATTCTAATAAGAAAATGCGGTTTAAATCAATCAGTGCAGTGCAACTCCATAGCTAAATAGCATTTACTAATCAACTTATACCTGATACAAATAAGAACGAACCATATGAAGTACAAAATATGTTAGTTTGGGTATGGAAGGGACTACAATCCGGTGGAAAATTTTCTAAATTTATTTAAATGTGGGTGGGGAGGGTTTGTCACTTTGCCCCAGGCAGTACAAGATACGTCTCAAAATAAATGAATGAATTTGATAAATATTAACCTTCTTGGGTACATTCATATCGGGTGTAGGAAAAGGATGTGTAAATTTTTACGTGGATGACAATATATTTAAATCCAATGGTTTTACATTTGTGAAAAAAGATATGCTACATTATCTTTTTACAAATATGGGTATGTTCATTTTATCCAAGGCAGCACAAGATTCGTCTCAAAATAAAGGAATGATTTTGATAAATAATTAATTTTCTTGGGTAAATACATGTCGGAGGTAGGAAATAAGATGTGTAAATTCTTACGTGGATGACAACAGAGTTAACTCCAATGGTATTACATTTGTGAAAAATTAAGATGTTACATTCTCTTTTTACAAATATTGGTATGTTCATTTTCCCCAAGGCAATACAAGGTACGTCAGAAAATAAAGGAATTAATTTGATTAATAATTAAACCTTCTGGGGCACATACATATCAGAGATAGGAAAAAGGATGTGTAAATTTTTACGTGGATGACAATATATTTAAATCCTATGGTTTTACATTTGTGAAAAAAGAGATGTTAAATTCTCTTTTTACAAATAAAGGTATGTTTATCAATTAAGAAAATCAATGGTGTTAACAAATCTTGGGTACATTTATATAATGAATACATGAATATCAAAACCCAATCAATTTACACACTTGAAAATTAAATTTTGACAAATAATAGTGGGTTAATATTTTCTTTTTAAAAAAAATGAAAATATATTTTTGTTGTTACTTTGCAAAAAGTAAAGAGGTGTGTTTTATGAGATTATTTGAAAGGTCCACTTTATCATCTTTTTCCTAATCATCTTCTTCCTTCACTGATTCCTGATATTGCTTAATTAAATCCTCAACTAGTTTTTCAATATCATTCACATCCTTCACATCGTCAGGTGCCATGAAGGCTAAAAGATTTTTAACATTGCAACGGAATTTTCTAAATCTCTCTTCTATACATTCCAATAACTGTGAACCAGAGCAAGGTGAGTTGCTCTGACATGAGATTAGTGTTGCTTCATCTGCCATCTCTAACTTTATTCTAACATCTCCTTCTTTATTTTCCTTTACTTGAACTTTTTGGGTAGTTCTTTGTCCCTCCACAGATTCTTCTGATTCCCTATTTTGTCTTGTAAGATCATTCCTTGCCAATTGATATGTTAAAGATGGATGTTCCTCCAGGGGGACATCATTGGAGCTGCAAATGTTTTCTATCTGACCAGGCACA